ATATTCTTTCCCTAATTATAGGAAGCCCCGTGTATAGTATTTCTACGTATATGATAAAGCTGGGAGATTCTCTCCCAAACAAGTTTTTCACTCAAATATCGTACTTTTTTCTGTTTTAAGTCCGATTCAAATGAAATTATCTAACTCATGAATCTGAGTTATTTTTTTATATTGGAATAAGATACTCTTTGGAAAAGAAAAAGTCATATTCCTGGTTCTTCATATATGAATTAGATCATGTTAAAAGGGGAATTTCTTTGCTTTGGCCTGTTTATGGATTTTACTTAGGAAGGACTCAAAGGAGTGCGTTCCAGCTGTATTATGCTATTTCCTCTATCCATATAATATGTATATGAAAGTCATTTTTCGAAGAATAAACATCGGTGGTTAATTTGACAACTGAATTCCTTCATAAAATGCGTGGCTGTTATTTTTGTGATTCTTCACAAACATGTGTGGCTGTTACTTAGGAAGGACTACTTTAGTTTTTGAGTTAACAGTATCTATTAATGCTAGCATGTCTATGAAAAATGATCATTTTGTCAATTGTAATTTTTCCCCACCTTGAGATAGTTTTATTTACCTACACTTAGTTGTGCTTATAATCTGCCGACAATTATTGTCTCATTTTTCAGCAGGGTGTGCATGTTTTAATAGATTTTGTACAATTTATTAAAGCATTCTAGCTGTAAATTCTTTTTATGAATTAAAATTATATTCAATGAAGACTGTTGGTTAATTGATTCAGTTTGCCAGCATTTTATTTTTACGAAGTACAGCATTGAGTCATTAACGCTGGTGACATGTTTTTGATCATTAGACTTGGTTTAAAAATCCTACTTAATAAATAATCTAGAAGAGAACATTGAAATGCAAACAACACTGATGATTTATGAATTTCTTGATGATGGCAAATGGAAATGAAACAAACGTTTTTGAAATTAGATTATAGAGCTGGGACATGAAAATTGCTGTGTGTGTGATGGATAGGAGTTTGGGGAAATTACGAAATAACTTGCACTCAGCAATTAAATATGCTGCTATTGTTTATCAGCCAAAAGAATATGCTTCTAAAACCAAACAAAATATCAACTTCAACTCCTGGAGAATTTCATTGAATTGTGCAATGCTTTTCAGTTTTGATAGTTATTGTTAGACCAATAATAGGTTTAATGTTGAATATTTTGTGTTTTTAAGAGATTTCTAATTAGCCTTATCCTTCACAGGTGGCAGAGTGGGGAATGATGAGTATGTGCGATGCTGAAAGAAGACTTCTGGCTAATGCATTGCTTGATATCTCAAATGAATGGTTTATCCTCCTATCGGAGTCCTGCATTCCTCTCCAGAACTTCAGTATTGTATACCGTTACATATCACGCTCGAGATATAGCTTTATGGGTGCATTTGATGAACCTGGTCCTTATGGGAGAGGACGATATGATGAAAACATGGCACCCGAGATCAACATGAGTGACTGGCGTAAGGGGTCTCAGTGGTTTGAAATTAGCCGAGAACTAGCTGTTAGGATAGTTGAAGACAGCACTTACTATCCTAAGCTCAAAGAATTCTGCATACCACACAAATGCTATGTGGATGAGCACTATTTCCAGACAATGTTGACAATTAATACACCTCATCTTTTGGCAAACAGAAGCCTCACTTATGTGGATTGGTCAAGGGGTGGTGCTCATCCAGCTACCTTTGGGAAGAATGACATCAAAGAGGAATTCTTCAAGAAAATTTTGCAAGAGCAGACATGTCTTTACAATAACCAGCCAACTTCCCTTTGCTTCTTATTTGCAAGAAAATTTGCACCTAATGCTTTGGACCCTCTTTTAGACATAGCTCCCAAAGCTCTAGGAATTTGAAGAATGCTTGGCTTCTTAGCTGCATCTTTGAAGGAGCGCTGATTGGAGCATGTTAGTTAGCTATCTGCTAACTTCATTTTAGTCACATGATCATCATCTAATCTCCTGCTTTGCAGAAATTTTGAGTTGCTCTCTCCAGCATTTAGATGTGTAGGACATTGAATCTAAACCACATTTCATTTAAGTATTAGCCAGAATATTGACTAATACTTTATTGGATTACTTATTAGTTAAATAAATATTGTAGTTATCCTTTTGGAATTTCTTACCATTGACACAAATTAATCGTTCTGGCCATTCAAAAATGCACTAGCTTATTATTTATAGGCATTCAGTTTGTGGTTCTTTCAATTTGCAGTTTCCATCTCTGCTACTTGGTTTTTCTTGCTACTAAGATAGTAAGATGCCAAAGGCCAGAGCTACGAACCATAAACAGATGTCAGAATTATAGTTTTATTTCATGTTGACTCTGTTGGCCTTATTTTGCTGTGAGTAGTTGTGGTACCAGATTACCAGTGTCACTGTCAAAGGCGTCATAAACAGCAGACATGTTTGAATAGTAAACTAAATAGTGTTTGGAAAGAAAATAAAGTTGTGTTTGCCTTTTAGGAAAAAATTTGCCCTACACTATTTTTTTTAGGGTGGCTAATGCTTGTTATTAGAAAAGGCTTATATTAGACGAGCTTCTTTAGTAACAACATATTGAAGAATACAAAAAATACAGTAAAAAAGTAAACGGATAAAATCTTTCTCATTTAAGTTATTCATAACTAATTTTCATTTATAAGTTAGATTATTTTTAACCTTTTCCATTCTCTTATTTAACAACTTTTTCATCTTTCCTTTTAATTTTTATTTTCCTTGTCTGTGTCTGAGTATTACTCCCATTTTCCCATTAGCTAAATGAACATCTAGTTATTTTAAAGGGAAGGCACTTGGGATCTAACAGTGTGTTTATAAAAAATTTAAGTTCAAGGTAACTAACGACCACTTCAATGAAACAAAAGACTTACTTCAATGTTTTGTACATTAGAGTGAGTGAATGTCCGAAATGGTAAATCAAAAGTGCACTAAATCATGCGACAAATAAACGTGAAATACAATGCCACATTGAGGTCATTGTTGCTACACTACATTAGCTTTTAATAGTTATTAACACTTATAATTCATCATTAGATTTCCTGTCTACCTTGGCTACGTCCTGCTGATACTTAATAAGATAAGTAGTAGCCAATGATGCATGAAGTGCAGCCCCGTAAGGAAGTGCATCTTCGTTGATTTTGAGATAGGGTGAGTGCAATGACCGATGCGTTTCGGGTGAAGCACTCTTCACTCCAAGGGTGGAGAAGTAGCCAGGAATGACCTCTTGATAGAACGCAAAGTCTTCAGCGGCCATGACTGGTTTTGTGTAAGTATTAACTTTATTGATGCCAAGCAAATTCCCAGCAACATCAACAAACAGCTTGTGCAAGTCACCATTATTTACTACTGGAGGATATAAAGGTTTCTTTTCATCAAGGAAATCCACAGTTGCATTACACCTCTGCACAGCAGCTTGACCAATGATAACCTGCATAATGAATCAGCCGTAGCCCCTACCACAAATTTGGTGACAAATACTAAACAAGTGCAAACATTTTTTTTTAGTTGCAACCAAATCTCGTAAGCTCCAATTACTATGGAATTTAGATACCATAGGACAAGAAATTAACAAGGTAAAATGAATGAAACTTTTCCTAAGTCAAAAATAACATGCGTAAGTTAAAATTAACTTTTAGGATAAGTTCAATGAAATAGTATAGTTAAAGTGCACTAGTTGATTTTAACTTGTAGAAAAAACTTGAATCATTTTACCTTTTTATTTTCTTTTCTATAAGTGTTTAATGAGAAGATTTTCCAAACAAGGCCTTAGAAAAGGTTAAATATATGCAGCCTTAGCATAAGTGAACAAGTTGTTTCCAATATTAGGACCCGTGATTTGAAGGCCGTAAGACAACGCAACAGTATTATTCTTACAGTAATCTTAAGGTTCACCCTTTGTAATTCAAGCCTATATGCTCTACGAAGAAAAACTACTTTACAGGAATTTGGTTCCCCAAGTTTATGTAACCTATGCATCTACTCATATGAATATATCAAGATCCAATATTTTCAAATATCATTTTCAATGCACCCAATGACTAGAAGAAGATTTAAAAGAGTTAAAAATAATAATTTGAAGAGCTCAATAGTCCAATACCAAATGCTAAAGATGCTAAAGTGATTGGACTTTATTTAAATGGTTTACCAAGCTTTTGGACTTAAAAGTTACTTAAACCCATTTCCTCAATTTTAATGTGATTTTTGTATTTTATTTTAATTAAATAAGTTTAGATGGTTTTTTATATTGCCTAGTTAGTTTTTGAGTGATTTTAGGCTTCCTATTGAAAAATAATTGCTAGTGACAATTTATTTCCTAATGGAGCTTAGTGAAAAATTAGTACATGTAAATGAGAAGTTGTTTATCTTAATCTATAGATATGATCCTTTTGTAAGCATCCATGACAAAATTGAAGATTAATTAAAGTGTAAGTTTCTCATGTAAGAGTTTTTTCCTTTGTTCTTGGATAAGAACTTTATAGTAATGATTTTACCAATAGGTCATGATTAGGGTCATGCTTCATTTTGATAACTTTGGTTCTACTGACAGGTCACGATTAGGATCAAGTTCCTCTTTATTCCTTTACTTGTTTTCAAGACAATCCTATCTAATAAAAATCATATCATTTGGTTTCAGAATTTTAGCTCTTGAATTCAAGTGTTATTTATCCTTTACCTTCTTATCTTCTTGAACCTAAAAAAAAGGTGTCGTATTTTTAATAATGGGTGAAGGAAAAGGAGAAATGGATATTAATCTCAAGTTGTTGACGAAGGAGTTTCAAACACAATTCTAGCTCCTAAATGCAAAATTAGATAATCTTGAATTTGCATATAGATCTAGAAGTGCAAGGCAACACACTTAAAAAGAGGAATATTCAAATAGACACTGCCAAAGGAGAAAAACAAGAGAGTGTGAGAAATCAAAAGAAATTGAAAATGAATGAATAAAAGATATAGAGATGAGGGAAAATGAGTTGAAGGAAAAGGAGAGAGAGGAAGATAAAGAATGCAAAGTTTTATGCTCTAACCCTTTGTTTATTGGTAATAATTCTCTTTTGAAGGGACTTGAAGAAGTGTTTCTCAAGAAGGAATGCAAAGCATCAAATGAAAATGCATTTGAATTTTCAAAGATGCAAATTTCTAAAAGGGTCAAAGGAACTTATTGTGGATTTAATTCTTCTTTTCAACTTAATCTTATAAATTCTTTTGCCTTGATGCAAAACAGGACGATGAGCTTAACTCAAGGATGAATCACATCAAAGAGTGAGAGAGATGATGATAGGAATTTATCAAGGTTCAATATTTTCAAAATCTCCTTTTCAATCAATATGGAAGACCCAATGACCAGAAGAAGATATAAAAAAGTTAAAAATAATAACTTGAAGAGCTCAATGAGTCCAAGGCTAAAGATGCTACAGCGATTGAACTTTATTTGGATGGTTTACCAACCTTTTGGACTTAAAAGTTACTTAAACCCATTTTCTCAATTTTAATGTAATTTTTGTATTTTATTTTAATTAAATAAGAGCATCTCCAGTGGGGGTTGCTCATTGAAGATGCTCTAAGTTCATATGCCTTTTCATATTGTCTAGGTCATGTTGTGGTTAGGATCATCCTTCTTTTTTATAACTTTGATTCTACTGATAGGTCACGATTAAAGTCAAGTTCCTCTTTATTCCTTTACCTGTTTTCAAGATGATCCTATCTAATAAAAATTGTATAATCTACTCATATATGTTGACAAGTTTTTCATATGACAATGAATAAGATACAAATATGATGTAAATGTGAAATTTGAGTCCTTTTTTTTAACTTTACAAACATACAAGTTTATAGTTGATCCTATGAAATTAAGAGTGATAAATGAATCTATTTATTCATTATCCATCTGATTCATTCACAAGTAAATCCATCTAATCTATCCATTAAAATAAAAATAAATAATGAATTGTATTTAATTCATCTATTTAATTTTATGGATGATTAGTGATTCATCTATTACTTTTTTAAAATTTATTGATTACCATATGAGATATTTATTGGATTGAGATTTTAAAAGACTATTTTGACATAAAAAAGTTTTGTAAATTTTAAAAGACTATATATTAAGAATGTGACTTATTAGGAAGAGAGAGAAAAATAAAATATTATAAAAATAAAAATTATTTAATTTTTAAAATATTATCTTATAAATGGATTGGATATCATCCATGAAAAAATTAATAGATGATTTTGATGGATTTTTTTACTTTAAATGAATTAAATTTTTATATAAATTTTTAATAAATCTAAATAAATTAATAAATTATTTTTATCCAATCTATTACAATCCATCTAAAAAAAAATTATCCGATGCATTTGTCACCCTTATATGAAATTCACCATTGCATATTAATAACTAAAACAAGTTGTTTGAAACAAAAGGAAACTAACAAGTTATTCTTAATGTAGCATCCTTTTTAATATCCAATACAATCATAATCAAGCTAGTAGGAATAACAACCAAAAAAAATGATTACTGTAAGGTGATATTGTATATAACAGAAGAGATCATGAATTTCAGATTTCAGTTTATGCATGTAAAATGAATCTAGTATTTCCTTGACAAACCTGCTCAATGCGCTTTTTAAGTTGCTCCAATCCTTCTCTAGAAAAAGCTCGGAAGGTGCCACCAATTGTGACATAATCTGGAATAACATTGAATGCACCACCTCCTTGGAACTTTCCAACTGTCACAACCTATGGAGACATACTTTATGTAAGGAAGACACCATAAACAAGTAAAGGCCTTAAAAATCAAGGCATTTCATCCGTTAAAAAAATCTGAACTTATCACATATAAAAATGTTCACAAATTTACCCGGGGCTCCAGAGGATCAGCCTCACGAGAAACAAGGTGTTGTAAGCTAATAATTACATTAGAAGCTGCCAATAGAGGGTCTATAGAATTTTGGGGAATTGCTGCATGACCTCCCTTTCCACTTATTATTGCTTCAAACACTCCACTTCCTGCCAAGATTGGACCAGAGCCACAGGCCACTTCACCTACTGAAATGTAAGGGTCCACATGTAATCCAAAGATAGCAGCAACATTTTCCAAGGCTCCAGCATCTAAAATTTTCTTAGCCCCTGCACCCCCTTCCTCTGCTGGTTGAAAAACAAGAACCACAGTTCCCTATTTAGACAAAAATAATAATGAACTTCTCGGCAGGTTTAAATTTCGATAAGAAGAAACGGAAACAAAGGAAGCAATATAAAAAAGTAAAACCTGAATCTCTTTTTCATGCTGTTTAAGAATCTTTGCAGCACCAAGAAGCATAGTGACATGAGCATCATGACCACACGCGTGCATCTTTCCAGGTACTTTACTCTTGTGCTCCCACTCCACCAGTTCCTAAGGTTAAAACACATCACCAAATCAATGAAATATATATCTACATTGTCAATTATTTTATTGTTTTTAGTGCATAGTGTCAATAAAACTTGAGGAAAGGCAAACATAACTCGTTTGTTGTCTTACCCTTACCTCCAAATAGAACAAAACCATAAAACAGTTACTAAATAAAAGAAGAGTCAAATCCTGGTTCAAACATGTCAGGAAAAAAAAAAGACATAGAATTGATGAAACCTGAATGGGAAGAGCATCCATATCAGCTCTTATTGCAACAAAAGGTGAGGTTCCTGTTCCAATGAAGCCAATAACACCAGTGACAGCAACAGGGTGTTTATAGGGGATACCAAGTTTATCCAATTCCTCTCTAATTGAAAATAGGCGTTCCGCCTTATGGCTTGTTGTCTTTAAGTGGGAGTAAGGATGGGGGTTTATTTACCCTTTACTCCCAGTCATATAAAAATTTTAAGCAAGAGTTTTTTCGGGTGGTGCTGGTGGATGTCAATCCGTTGGAGGATGGGGCATTCTACTTCGGCAGGTTGCTGAAGTTCCCCTTTTATTGGTGCTCCACCCCGGCTAGGTTTCACGGGGTGGGGAAGTTGGAATTGACGACTTCGGAGTCGGCCGCTATTAAGAACCTTGCAGCACTTCCTCGCCCGCTGGATTGCAAGCTCGTCCTGTCGCTTGCGAACTCGGCGTACAAGGAGAGGGGCTTAGAGAGTGAGTATCTCGTCTTCTTTAGATTGTGAGGGTTCCTTAAAACTTCTCTTGCTGATGTGTTTGTTCTTTCTGTTTGCAACAATGTTGCTACAATGTTGCTGAAATTGAGGTCCCCGAGCCTCGGGAGGAGGAGGTCGCCCCTCTAAAAACAAATAGAAAAAGAAAGAGGGGCGAGAAGGAGGTCGGGGGGACCTCTGCCCCTCCAGATGCCGAGGAGGTGACCTCCAAGGCTGCTGATGCTGATGCAGTGGACCTCACTAGGAGTCCACCATCTGAAGGGGCTCCCCAAATGGCCGTCGCGCACACTGCTGAGCAAGTTGCTCCCTCTGCCGAGGTAAGTGTCTTGCTTTGTGGCTTTCCTTTTTCTGTTGTGTTCTGGTTGGGCTTTGTTTTAAAAGGATATTTTAATTTTGTGCTTGATTTTTTGCAGGCAGGGAATGCTGTTGAGGTCCCGGTGCCTCCGAGGTCGGATGCGCCAGGCTTGGATCCTCCACTTCCGAGCAGGGGGTGCCTGCTTCTGCTTCCGCCGAGGTCCGCAGCAAGGGGCCAAGTTCTGAAGTCCCAACCTCTGCACCAGCGACCTCGGCGCCGTCGTCTGGCCAGGTGAAGGGGGCTCGAAGAAGCCAATACCTCGCCCAGCGCTTCGTAAAGGGCTCCTCCCAGGTGCGGTTAGACCATGTGAGTGCCTCGGAGGACGTCAGTTCTTTGTGGAGTGCGGGGTTACCTCGGAAAAGTTCTTCTCCCGTTCCTCGTTGAGCACGACTGATCAAGCTATGATCGAGTCGGCTGGGCCGTGGAAGGTCTGGATACCGCTGAGGTCTTCTTGTAGAGAAGCATGACCATTGTGGATCACTGGAAGCACAAGTGGTCCAAGCAGCAAGAGGACTTGGCGAAGTTGAAGGGCTGGGATCAACCTTTGAAGGAGGAGGCCAAGGCTTTGAGGGACGAGAATAGGTCCTTGGCGGCTGCCCTTGGGGATGTCAAGCTGCAGAGTGAGGCCAAGCTCCAGGCCACCCGGAGGGAGGTGGAAAGAGTCCAGAAGTCCTTGGAGATTGCTCTGAGGGCCATGAGACCTACGCTTCCCAGGTGCGCGAGCTGCAGGATCTTGCCAACTCCTCTTGAGCTCGGGTACGTTTTTTGGAGGACGAGATCACTGCACAGAAGGCCGAGCTGGTGTCGGCGGCCGAGAAGCGTCTTTGTGACGAGGTGCTTCTCGGTGGCCAAGTAGAGGAGTATGACGCTCCGAGGGTGGACCTCGCAAAGCTGGAGGAGGCAAAGGCGGGGCTGGAAAAGATGCTTGAGGAAATCGAGCGGGCTATTGTGGTCGAGCATAAGAGGGGTTTCCTCAAGGCAGCTCGCCAGGCGAGGCTACTTGCACCGGGGTTTGACTTCTTTGCCATGCATGTGGAGAAAGTGGTCGCTTTGGGAAGCTGGTGAATGAGGATGACCTCGAGGACAGCTCAAGTGAGAATGCCTCTGCTTAGGCCGCTTTTGTAATAGTTTGGCATATTTTTCATTTCTTTGAATTCGTGTACTGAACTCATAAAAATGTTGTGTATACATTGTTTTCTTGCAATTTCGATAGTTATTTTGTTTTTCGAACTTGTGTATTTTGTGCTTGTGCGTTTTGCGCTTTTCCGGGGCTCAAATTTTGTCTGATGTGACTGATTTGTTCTTAGGCTCGAACTCAACCTTTAGAATGTCGTAAATTGTACCAAGGTTCGAACTCGACCTTGGCTTTCGGGAGAGATAGACCGTGTTAGGGTTCGAACTCGACCTCGATCTGTAGGGTAACATTTATTAAGGTTCGAACTCGACCTCGAGCTGATGATACCGAGGTTCGAACTCGACCTTTGGTTGCTCATACCGAGGTTCGAATTCGACCTCGGGTTCTAGTGTGATATAAATATCATTGCTCATACCAAGGTTCGAATTCGACCTCGGGTTTTAGTGTGATATAAGTATCATTAAGGTTCGGACTCGACCCTGGGTGGGTCATACCGAGGTTCGAACTCGACCTCGAATTTTAGTATAATATGAATAACATCAAGGTTCAGACTCGACCTTGGGTTTTGGTGCAGCGTATTTAGGGTTCGTACTCGACCTTGACTAAAAGCGAGATAAATTGTACTAAATTTCGAATTCGACCTCGATGTGAAGTAAAATAAGTTGTGTCAAGGTTCGGACTCGACCTCTGTTTAGCATAAAACATAAAATGATGTGAGACTAAGAAAATATGAATGGAACAGAATGAGTCATTTTATTGATTATTTGTATGTGCCTCGTTAAAAACCCTCTCAGCCAAAACCCATTTTTCTGTTTCTTGGGATAAAAGACTGAGGCGGGAAAAAAGTGCACAGCTCATTCGTACAAAACTAACTGAAGTAAAACTTGAGATGCGTGGCATTCCAAGTTCGCGGTATGGACTTTCCACTGAGTTACTCCAGTTGGTATGCTCCGTTTTCCAAGTCTTCTACAACTCGGAATGGGCCACCCCAGGTGGGTGCGAGCTTTCCATCTGATGTGTCTTACCGAGCTCCACCTAGCAAACGCCACACCAGGTCGCCAACTCGGAACGAGCGAGGCCGCACTCGCGTATTGTATCTTCTGGAAGCTCGGAGCTTGCAGGCTTCTTCGGGGCTTTGAGCTTTGGCTCCGAGCTCGCCAACTAGGTCGAGGTCGGCGTCTAACTCTTGAGCGTTCTGTTCGCTGTTGAAGGCTTGGCGTTAGTGCGATGTCTCTCCGACTTCCGCTGGGATCATTGCGTCAGCTCCGTAAGTTAGCCTGTAAGGCGGTTCTTGCGTTGTTGACTGGGGGGTACAATGGTATGCCTAAAGGATGCTAGGAAGTTCCTCAGCCCATTGCCCCTTGGCGTTCCCGAGGCGCTTTTTGAGTTCTCGGAGTATCACCTTGTTAGCTGCTTCCCCTTGGCCATTAGTTTGCAGATGTTCCATTGAGGTCGATAGATGCTTGGCTCCGAGTTCCCGAAGAAAGTCTTCGAGGTCCGGTGCGATGAACTGTCGGCCGTTATCAGTAACAAGGGAATGGGGTATCCCGAACTTGCATACGATATTCTTCCAGGTGAATGTCGTATGTTCTCAGTGGTGATCTTAGCGAGTGGGAATGCCTCGATCCACTTTGTGAAGTAGTCGATAGCCACCAGGAGGAACTTGAGCTGACCCTTCACTTGGGGGAATGGTCCTAGGATGTCCATTCCCCACTGGGAAAAAGGCCATGACGACATCATCTGGTGAAGAGTTTCGGGTGGTTGCCGATGTGAGTTGCCAAACTGCTGGCATTCTTTGCACCTTTGTACATAGTCTTGGCAATCCGATTTCAAAGTGGGCCAGTAGTATCCTGCTCGGAGTACTCTGGTCGCCATTGAACGTGCCCCGGAATGCATGCCACATATGCCTCGGTGGATCTCCTCGATGACATAGGCTGCCTGGGGTGCAGTTAAGCACTTGAGTAGTGGGGTGGAGATGCCGCGCTTGAACAGTTCGTCGCCAACGATCACGAATTTGGCCGACCTCAACCTCATCTTCCGAGCTTCATCCCTGTCTGCGGGCAAAACTCCTGCCTTCAAGTAGCTCCAGATGCCTGTCATCCATCCCTGTTCCTCACTGTCGCTAGTTTTGACGATCTTGTCGTCTAGACTAGGTGAGTGTAAGGTCTCCTGGATGATGGTCCGATGTTGTCCAGGGCGTTTGGTGTTGGCGAGATTTGAAAGGAGGTCGACTCTGGTGTTTTGTTCTCGCGGTACATGCTGTATGGTGAACTCGTCAAAGGACGAGATCTGCTGTGATGCCATGTGGAAGTACCGTTGTAGGAGAACGTCCTTGGCCTGATACGTTCCGCTAAGCTGCTCTACCATGAGTTTCGAGTCGATGTTACAACTCACTCTCCGAGCTCCGAGGTTATGAGCCAACCTTACCCCCGCGAGAAGCGCCTCATACTCGGCCTGGTTGTTGGTCACCTTGAAGCTAAACTTGAGGGATTGCTCCAAAGTGACTTGGTTCGGTCCTTCCAATATGATACCTGCACGGCCACCCTTAGAGTTGGAGGACCTGTCAACGTGTAAAGTCCATACTTGTGGTTCCTCGGCAGAGGGGGGCGTGAGCTCGGCTACGAAGGCGGCCAGGCATTGAGCTTTCAGGGGGCCACGACTTTCGTACTGGATGCCAAACTCGGATAACTCGACCGACCATGCAATCATTCGTCCGGCGAGCTCTGGCTTCCTCAAGATCTGCTTGATTGGGTAGTCGGTCTTGACGACTACTTGGTGACTCTGGAAGTAGGGTCAGAGACGCCGAGCCGCGGTAACGAGTGGCAGTGCCAGTTTCTCGATCATTTGGTACCGTTTCTCCGTGTCTTGGAGGACTCGGCTGATGAAGTAGATTGGCATTTTTACTTTCTGGTGTTCTTGTACTATGACTGCACTGATGGTGTTTTCTGCCATGGCCAAGTAGAGGAGGAGGTCGGTTTTGTGATCCGGCCTCTGCAGGATTGGCGGGGTCGTGAGAAAATCTTTGAAGCTCTTGAAAGCTTCTTCGCATTGGTCTGTCCACTCGAAATTTTTTGGCTTGCGTAGAAGGGTGAAGATGGGCCCTGCCTTGTCCGCCAACCTGGGGATAAACCGGGAAAAGGAGACCAATCTGCCTGCCAGACGCTAGACATCTTTCATGGTCTGGGGACTCTGCATCTGAATGATGGCTTTACACTTTTCCAGGTTGGCC